ACATTTGAAAATCTACACAAAGGAGACACATTCCCAGAAAAACACAGCATATCAAACTGAAACAAGGGGGGAAAGGAAATCTGATTATCTTTTTTAAAAGAACTGAATTTGTGGTTTATAAATTTAATTTAACTTTATTTTTCTGAGACAGGGTCTCACTGTCTTGTCCAGGCTGGAGTGCAGTGGCCTGATCCTAGCTCACTGTAACCTCCAACTCCTGGGCTCAAGTGAGCCTCCTGCCTCAGCCTCCTGAGTAGCTGGGATTCCAGGTGTGAGCCACCGAGCCCAGGTCTGAATTTGTGATTTTTAAAAGCTCCTGTGAAAGAAATCTCCAGGCACAGACGCTTTCAATGGTAAATTCTTCAGAAACTAATCTTCTATTAACTCATCCCAAGAATTAAAAAAAAGGAAGTGCTTGTCAGCCTTTTTTTTTTTTTTTTAATGAGGCCAGACTACCCTCGACACCAAAGTCTGAGGAGGGAATTACAGGTGGGGGAAGGTGTAAGTCAGTCTCTCTCACAAACACAGATTTTTTTTTAAAAAAAGAACAATACAGCGAATCAACTTGGACGTAATCTTTGCATGTCAAGCTGGCTACTGTCATTACTATTTAGAATCCTCTCTCCAAAGTGGAGTCCCTAAGTCCAGAGCGGGGTGGGCGGCTGGTGGTCCCTGTTGGACTTGGAGGCGGGGCTTTGGACTTGGAGGCGGGATCTTAGCCTGGGAGGCGGGGCCTTGGACTTGGAGGCGGGGCTTTGGACTTGGAGATGGGGCTTTGGACTTGGAGATGGGGCTTTGGACTTGGAGGTGGGGCTTTGGACTAAGAGTAGGGGCTTGGGTGGGGGCCAGCCCGGAGAGGAGCACTGACCCATTCCGGATGCACCTGTCTTCAGGCGCTGGCAGCCACTCCTTTGGCGGTCCCCCCCCCCCTTATATCCAAGAGGAGCCTCTGCCCCCACCACAGGATGTCCCCGATCATCAAGAGGGCTTTATTTTCTTATTAAGTGCTATCTTTATAAGAAGTGACTTTGCAATTTAAAGCTTGTTTCAAATAACCAAAAATCACACTGGCTTTATTAATGACAGCCCTGAAACCCCAGGTTGCTCTTCCGTGAGTACCAGGACACGCAGCCCCTGTGTGAGTTGTGGGATGCAGGGAAGAACGTCAAACCCCCTTGAGCCCTGGACCGGGTGGACAAATAGGTGCAGGTGTGCCTCTCACCTACGGCCCTCACTTCACGCCAGCTGCCCTGCGCCTTGCCCTGGGGGGTTGGGGCTGCAGCAGGAGATACCTGCAGCTAACACCTGTCCCCATGATGGCCTGGCCTCCAGGCTCTCCCCCTTCCCACATACATTTTCTCATGCCACCAGCCTGCATTTAAGCCAACTTCAGCATGCTCTCTACATATGGGGGAAATCTAGCCATCTGCACATGAAGTCAGAATACCAGAAGCCTTGATTTGCTTGTATAGATTTAGAATCTGTCCCAGTGTAAGTTTCCTGTTTAATAATGGCTTCTCTATTGATCAAACCTGTCACTATGAATTTCTGTTAACTGAATAGAAATCTACTTGAATGTTTTAGTATATAAGGAGCCTGTTAAACTGAATTTAAAATACCAGTGTAAACACAAAGGAGGGACATATGTGTGATTTTCAAACATGTTGGACCTCAGGCCAAGTTGGCAACATTTAATGGGGCCCACGTTCCAAAACAATTAGAAAGCGCATATGAAAGATTTCAAAATAATTATCAAAACAGAAGTTGACAAGGTGAGAATTCTCAATATTTGAGGCTGGTAATATAGCTCTCTTTCATATTAAAATATTGTCATTTGGCCAAGCAGGGTGTCTCAGGCCTGTAATCCTAGCACTCTGGGGGGCCGAGGTAGGAGGATTTCTTGAGCTCAGGAGTTCGAGACCAGCCTGAGCAAGAGCGAGACCCCCATCTCTACTAAAAATAGAAAGCTTAGCCGGTGGTACATCTGTAGTCTGAGCTACTCAGGAGGCTGAGGCAGGAGGATCGCTTGAGCCCAGGAGTTTGAGGTTGCAGTGGGCTGTGATGGTGCCACTGTACTCTAGCCGGAGTGACAGAGGGAGATTCTGTCTCCAAAAAAAATAAAAAAATACAGTCACGCATCCATGCATCACTTAATGGCAGGGATACGTTCTGAGAAATGCCTTCCTAGGCAGTTTCATCATGCAGACATTGCAGAGTGACCTTACACACACCTGACGGTGGAGCCTACCGCACACCTGGGCTGTATGGTACAGCCTATTGCTCCTAGGCTCCAAACCTGTACGGCATGGTTACTATTCTGAAGTGTGGCAACTGTAACACAGTGGTATTTTTGTTCTAACATAGAAAAGTATAGTAAAAATATGGATTATAATCTTATGAGAGGACGGGGCATGGTGGCTCACGCCTGAATCCTAGCACTCTGGGAGGCCAGGCCGGGCGGATTACTCGAGGTC